CTTGAGCATTTAAGAGTTGACCAACAAAAAAAGAATCAAGCAGGAGCCCCATGAAAACAGTATATACTACCTCAAATATCAATTTTTAAACTGTCAGCCTTTTTACCTTTAGATATAATTCTAAAGGCTGTCACTGTTTTCCACCTACCTCTGACACACATGGGTTTCAAAACAAATAAACTGTATAAAAACTTGATCAGAAATTAAAAAAGGGCTCCTAACTGTGACATAACTTCAGTGATACAACTTAGAAATATTTGTCATCTGCTCTTGGGAAAAAGATGTAGCAAGCAAGCCACTCTTTTTGAAAATAACCACATGAATTATTTCTCCTTTATTGATATGGAGAGGAAAATCCTGCTACCATACTTAAGGATAGCTGCAGTTGATGAGCTTAGGAACAAGTCAAGTCCTCAAGTCCTGGAATATTCACCTAACAATTTTTTCCTTTCCTGTTATGGTGGTATTATTCCTGTGTATATATGGAGCAAGAAAGCAAGGTAGGACTTGTGAGACTAAGAAGGAAATACTATTTTCAAGTAGTAGCAATAACAGTATTACTATTTAAGTAGTAGTAACAATATAGTCTTGTCAAGAGTACTAACAAAACATATGTTTAATATACAAAGTGTCCATGATCATTCTCCTTAATGTGATAGTACAAGAGGAAGTGGGGTGCAGGGGGGTTTGAATTTACAAGAAAATCTGACCGTTAAGTTGAAAGGCAGAAAAAGCCAGATCAGTCAAGTGCCCATATCCTGTTTGCTTACGTTGTCTAGGCTACATGTGTCAAGGAGCAGACAAGGGTACACAACTGAACTCTGAACTCTGTCCACACAGGACGGTACATGCTGCACCCACAGTACTACTGTTTCTTGTGGGAAATTCTGCTTAGGCTACAGTACTTACCACCTAAAAAAACTTGATAAGAGATAAAATGCAAGATCCCTTGTATATAGAAAATGGGAATCGCTTTAAGGAACAAGCCTTCTCATGCAATAAAGAGACCAGTACTTTGTTCTGCACATGCAGCTACAGCTCCTAGCAGACATGCCTAGAGGAGGTTTTCCCTCTAGTCATCTTGTTTCTGTTGGGACAAGATCAATAGATTGTTCATTGTGCCATTCTTCTCTCTTTTCCTGAGGCTAGACACATATCTAAATCATAATAATGATTCTGTGCCAGAGCATATTAGATGCTAACTTAAGCATAGATAGGGGGCAGAGACAGTACAGGAAACTGTCAGCAGAAAAAAAAAAAAAAGCACAAGCTGCCTTCATTCTTGGCACAGTAGGAAACTTTTTCAACACTTTTGTCCTCACTAAAGACTTGTATACCACTGCAGGCTTGACTGTTAAATAGAGGATTTGATAAAGAGATAAGTGTACACAGAGTTGCAGGTTGCTGTACTCAAGGCATATCTACATGACTTAGACACACCTATTTGTCAGATTGTTTTCCTAGGACCTCAGAGAACAATCTTGGCAGACCCAGAAGTAAGTGGCTGCTGTGCTTTGCAATGTGCAAGCTAAAACAGCAGAACCTGCTATGCCTTAAGTCTTTTCAGACTCTCTAAAATTGCAGAGGAATACATTTTACAAAAGCTCTGTCTTAGACCACTTACTATGCAAGATCACTACCTGAAAGTGACTTTCCTCCTGTTTGTCCAACAGGATTAGTGTGTCAGCCCTCAATCTATAGCACTGCCATTTTTAAACAGCATAGGACCACATTATTGGTTGTTGAACCACATCATTAAATAAGGAATTAACAGCTTTAATTTCTACTGTGGCATGCCACTTCATCTGATACAAGCTTAAATGCCAAGGAGGCGGAGGTGAACCACTGAGGTCATTATGTAAGTGTCTGCTTACCTAGAACTGATCCATTTCTCAATGGCTGTAGACTTGCAAATATGTTACGTGCTTGCTGTGTACATTTAAAGACTTAACCAGAGAGATTTTGAGAGAGAGAACCAAAAGTCTTTACTTTTCAACAGACCTCTGGTTCCAGGTAGGAAGTCTTGCCCTAGATCAGAAAGTATGGAGCTCTGTAGCCAGAAAGATGCACCCATTTAACATGTTAATTAGCCACTGTTGTGGAGCAGACAGGTTCAACAGCAAAACAAGCATGCCAAAGGCAAGAGTTGTTTTGAAATATGAATATACCCACACCTGTCCTGTAGGAAAACTCATGCCTAGTACAGTCAGAATCCAGGATGCATTACTTATTATTTGAAGCTGCTTAAGTGGAATAAGGGGGCAGTTAAAAGCCATGCAAGGCAGTTTATTCTGAAAGCTGTAAGTTACTCTGGAAGCCCTAAAGGGGATTCAGAGCTCTGCACAATTTAAGTGGAGCTAAAATACTGGGATGACATGTTGACATGACTTGGGGTCAGCTGTGTTTTGACAGTTAAACTCATGGGTAATTTCACATAAAGGAGATGTTTAGTAAGATGCTTTAGTTACACTGAAAGGAACAAACCCTAACAAGCATGTAGAAGGGACAAAGTTAACTCATTCCATCTGAACAGATTTATTAAAGAAATTAGGCTGTCAGGGTTTTAACGCTCCTTAGTTTTTAGGTTGTTCTTCACAGGTTAGTGAAAGCTCCCTCCAACTTTCAGGTATTTTAAAAAATTATACTAACTTGTTTCTGACATATTTTAATAGCATTACTGAAAACTTAAATTCCTTAAAAACAACTCTATTGTTCATATGTATTTTTTTTAAATGAATGTTCATTTCTTTTACATACCATTGGACTCAACCACATTATGACTAGAGAAAACTAGTTAATCATTTAGAATGTATCAAACACAAGTCAAGTAGTCCATCTGGTCTTAATTCCTTTTACCAGTGGTTCAGAAATGCTTCTAACTCTGTTTTAGGGATAAAACTACACTGTAATATGGGTGAATTTTCAGATTATCTGCTTCTGGCAAAATCTCTACTGCTGACGTTAGATGCCAAGGCCTCTTGTGTATTACACAGGAATGACATGCCTAAGAATAGTAGTTACCAGTACTCACAGCAATCAGACCATGGTTTAGATCCAAACACAAGTCTCACTGTCTCAGATTAACCTAGTCCAGTAAGTGTTCTCCAGTGTTCTTGCTTTCAGAATGATTATGGCAAGCACAGATATCTCCCTCAAAACTACCACTGTTCTCTTAAAGTGAAAATGGGATATTTATAATCAGAGTTGGAAGGGAAGATCATAGTCAGGACACCTTAAAGCAACACTTGCAATTTTAAACGGAAGAAATGGCAACTTCAGTCCTGTTTAAAAGCAGGAATTCACACATTGCCCATTGGGATGACAGCAAGGGGCATCAGTGATTCTGTCAAATAGGTAACGAAGCCAAACTATGAAAGTTAAACTCAGCTCTCAGTTATCCTAGGAATACTTAAGATAATCAGTTTCTCAACTTTAGCTTTTAGCTGTAGAACTTTAGAGACACTTCACATCCTTCATTCAGCTACAGCAAGCCATCACCACAGCGATTTAATTCCACCACTCATTTCTTAAATTGAAAAACAATCATGCAAAAGTGGCCTAAGAAGAAACTGTTTTGCAACTTAGGCGTATTCAAGTCTTTCAGCTGAAGTCAGTTTTCTTCCCAGTAGAAAGGCAAGGCAGCGATTCTTTACAGTTCACCTATACCACCGCTCAACAGAAGAGGTCTTTAACAATACCAGATTTCTCTAAAGCTTAAGTCCTTCAGCATTAAGCATTAAAATTCACCCAATGTTACTTTAATCTTTGCTTTTTAATTACATGTAAAAATACCTGCTAAAGTGTATTTTGACATTACGCTATACCCTGAGCAATATGCTGGCTAGCTAGCATGTGATTGGCATCATAGTGAAGTCACGTTGTAAGTGGTTGGTGTGCTTTCATACCATTTCTCTTACTTAACCACAGATAAGGGCCCATGCTTAAAAAACAAAACACATTAAGAACAGAACTGCAATCAAGTGAGGGTTAAGATGTACCAACACATTCTTCTCAGGCACTCAGCTTCTTCCACAAAAAACACACCACACCCCAAAAGCCCACAAAATGCAGGAGCTGGAGGCATCTAAAAATTAAGTTACAACAAACCAGTGTTGACAGTAGCTGAGGCGTCTACCTTAAGCAGATTCCCTCTTTCACATAAGTGAAGAACATACCACAGGATCACCATTTGAGATTTAATGGTGATTTGTAAGCATCTTTGACAGCTTAAAGCCCTCATCCATGCATTAGATGATAGAAGGCAAATATACTGTGCTGAGGTATGTAGAGATTCATTCTTCAGGGTTCAGCAAGTCTATCCATTCTCTGTTCCCAATTTAAAAACTTCTTAAGGAGGAAGGCTGGCTATCACCACCTGTGCTCTCACCACATTTTAATATGAAAGACAGACAAGTGTTTATGTAGGGCACTGTTGGTTTAGAAAAAAATTATCAAGATCATTTTAGCAACACCCTTCTTGTACACAAATTACTAATATACTTAATAGGTAGAGTTGTCAGGGGCTGTAGTTAGCCTTGTTCACCAGAACAGTGTCTGCTTCAGTTTGTTCAGTTTTCCACACAAGCCAAATTTCCAAATGAGTATAAATATTAGAGTTAGCATTTAAAACCACGGTAACAGCAGAACCAACTAGGACAAGACTGATCATTTTTCTTTGCAGATCAGGAAAAAAAACAAACTAACAAGCTTTTTTCAAATATGAAAACACTATAATCCATTATATTAAGTTACCTTGCAGCTTACACAATACAATTTAAATGCTAGCTGCTCAAGCTAGCTAACACAAGCACCTTAGGCAGCATGTGGGGACCTACAACATTAGCAATTTCCTGCCTTATTACAAGAAGTCACACAAGCCATCTCAAATATGCCAATTTCATTATAACAGATTGATCCTTTAAGGTACTTTCAGTAGAAAAGGTAGAACTTTAAAGCAATGTTTCAAATGACATGGTATGTAATTAAACAAAAGCACACTTAACATTTCAGTGCAAATTCAGTTCTTCCACCCACAAGTTAGGAAACAGGTTCAACAGAAGGTTTAAGTTCAGAAATCATTTAGTTTAGAAGTAGTAGGTAAGTACAGCATTTTAACACTACAGTTGTCTAAACAGCATTATGTGGGCAGTATACTACATTGAGAACTTTTGAAATATTAACAGATATTTTATATAGACTTAACACCTACCAAAGTAAATTCTGTAACAAAGTGGTTTAGCATTATGCATATAACACTGATCCTTGGGCAAACACGTTAAACCAATAAATCTTGAGGACTGCAAGGAATGTTATAGCTGGTAGGAATCTGCTACAAAATCCTGAAGGATGCTGTAGATCTTAATTCAGGACACTGGTGAGCATCTTTAGCAAGAGACCTTATACCAGCCACTTTAAAGCAAGCAGACATTTCAAAGTTTTTTAGTTGCCGGAAGTTTAATCTTGTTTCACTTCACCCTTTAAATGCCTTTTCATACGTGAATATGGGCTGATTGTGTCATCCATCACGAAGTCATACAGTACTTTTATCCATGAGTTATATTGTGGCAGGTTGTCATAGTATTCAGCTGCTATTTTCTTCACCTGAAGAAGAGATATGAGGTTTACTATTTATATTAGCACCAATCATGACAACTTTACAATCCTCTATGTGTAACAATGTAGCACACTAGATGTTTCATTTTAGACATTAGATTCTACAGGAAAGGCTACTAGTGCCACAATGCAAAAGTTTCTTGGAAGGAAAAATGAACTCCCTGGTTGTTAAGTAAACCTCATGTGAAACTTTTACATGGAAGCTAACCAGAACAAACTGCAAACACTCTGAAGTCTGTTCACTGTGCTACCCACAGAACGATGTAGTTCACAAAAGCGAGCAGTTTTCTTGCTAGTGGAAGTGGGTGAGTCACTTCAGTGCTGACTCATAGGTATACAATATCACTAAAAAGGATGTTGTCAGTTCTAGGAAGAGATGTTTAACACAGCTATTTTTACATGTAGTTTCAAAACTCAGCACTCAGAAGAAAAAATATCTTATTTCTGAGGAACGTCTTGTTTCTGAAGACAGATGTTAAAGAATGACTATAAACTGCTTCCAAAGACTTTATTCTAAGATGTACATGCTGACTAGACCACTGTTCTAAACTAAAAAAGATAGAGTTTCAGTTAGCTATCCTTACTGATATTTAAGACGAGCCACCTAAAGCCTTAAAAACCTGAACAAAACAAAACAGACCATCCACTAAATTCCATAGCTTTAGACAAAAGAAAAATACTAATCTGTATAAGCAACAAACAAACACAAGATATTTGCATGCCTGGTTTGGAGCAGAAGATCATTTTGATCTGTCATCACACCTACAGAGCAGCATATCTAGCCAGTATACTTTCATTCAACAGTAATTATTCTCAGTTCACCAGCTGGAATCAAGTGTTCAGTACTTCAGTGATCTTAAGCACACAGCATAGCACAGTCCAATCAAACTACACTGTTCTAAAAGGAGGCTTTGTTTTCTTATCAGAGGTGTGGATTAAGAGTCCCAGTAGCAGAGCTAGGTATTTACCTTTGCAATTAAATACTCGTAAAAAAAAATTCCCTATTTGCAACTCAAATACTGCTACAAACAGTGACATGCTGGTTTGTCAGCACAGATCTAGGTATCAAAGGTGAGTTAAAGCAACTTTAGCTGTATTTGAAATATTAAATCTATGAATAAAAAAATCATTAAAAAACTAAGACAAAGTTTCAACAAACCAATTACAGAATTTAACTGCTCTGCTAAAGAAATGCTGTAGTAATTATTTCATCTACAGTTCCACCACTGAAAACAAAAATAACGATAAAATTTAGACTCCAAAGGCACAAGCTTACAAGGGGTTACTATTACCAAGTGCAATAAAAAAACTACAAGACCAACATCACAGCTGCTGTCAAATTGCAAATTTAGTGTCTGATAAAAAACACTTCTCACTGAAGATGAGTTTTAGGTATGACCCTGGAAGCCTGTGTTCCCATGCTCCAACTGGGAAACCCATATACAATGACAATTAAGCTCCTGCTAAAAGGAAATCAGCGAAGACTGAAGTGGGGAGAAACCAGTTTGAAAATTCACATCTGATACTGATGCAGATGTTACAGGTCTAAGTCTTAGCTTTGAAGCTGTCAGGGCTTAACCCTACCCAGCAACTAAGCAGCACACTGCCACTCACTCAGTCACCCCCCCCCAGGTTGGGATGTGGGAGAGAATCAGAAGAGTAAAAGTGAGAAAACTTGTGTGTTGAGATAAAGACAGTTTCATAGGTAAAGCAAAAGCCACGCACACAAGCAACACAATTAATTCACTACTTCCCATGGGCAGGCAGGTGTTCAGCCATCTCCAGCAGAGCAGGGCTCCATCACACATAACAGTTACTTGGGAAGACAAGCACCATAACTCCAAATATTCCCCCCCACACACACATTTCCTTCCTCTTCCCCTGGGTTCATATGCTGACCATGACATCATATGGTATGGAATATCCCTTTGGCCAGTTGGGGTCAACTGTCCTGGCTGTGTTCCCCCTCCCAGCTTCCTGTGGAGAAGCTGGGAAGGCAAGGGGCCATATGAGAAGCCAATGTGCAGCTGATACTTACTTAGGGTTCAAAGGTTCTCATTAGACTAAACCGAGCTGCTCCAAAACAGAAAGCTGTTAAACATTTGTCAACAGTACAACAAACATTAGCAGTACCTCAAACGGTCTCTTTTCCACAGCAGAGGATGTCAGTGATAAGACACTGAAGGATAAGCTTGCATTACAATATTGTCCTTAAGATTTCAAAGACAAGCACTGACAAGTCTCTGAAGGCATCTCCAACTTCTTAACTAGTTTTCTGCATACTTACAAACGAAAGACTACAGAAGTCTGGTTGTAATTACAGAAAACTAAAGTAAGTGCAAAACCTGAGTTTCCTCCCCTCTCCTTTTATGGAAGAGGCTTGAGCAGCCAGCACACTGAAGCTTGTTCAGGATACCACTAAAACAGTGAATAATTACCCCCATCATCACTCAGCTTAGAAATTGTTCTGGTTTTTGCTTGGTATGGGTTTTTGTTGGTGATTTTTTTGATCTCCCAACTTCCATTCTTCTAACTATCAGCATTCTACCTGATTTTCAAGTTAAAGTAGGGCTTATTTTAAGAAAAATTAATAGCCTTGGAAGAAAACTTACCAGTGGGAGGTTTTTGCCAGGAATATTGGGGAAGTCATGATGTTCATTGTGATAGCCAACATTAAAAGTGAGCATATTAAGTGGCCCATAGTAGGAATAAGTCTCATATCCTTTTAAAAACATGTAATGTTCAGCTATGAAGTGTCCCGAAATCGGATGCAACCCAAGTCCAAGTACTGAACCAGCAAGCATGTAAAAAGTGGATTTGACTCCCCAGAAATAATATATCACAACATCAAAGGAAAGCTGAGCCAACAAATTGATTATTTCAAGTCGAGTAATGGGTTTGGGATTGATGCAGAGAGGTCTAATTGCATAGAAAAAAGGCTGAAGAACAATCCATATGAACTTCCTAAAAGGGGTGCAGAAAAACCAGCCTTCAAAGTTGGTAGGAATGTCCACATCAATTCCGTCGCCTCCTAAGTAACGATGATGATCCATGTGGTATCTCTTGAAGGATATGGAGTATGGGAGACCAAGAGGGAGGTTAGCAAATATTCCAAACCATCGATTCCACATTGCTTTCTTGTTCCCAAAGGCACTATTGTGAGAGATCTCATGAATAGCCAGGGTCATGGAGTGGCTAATACAGCTTCCAAAAACATATGCCCAGAAGATCACCCATTTCCAGTCCAAGTCTTTAACTAGATAAAATGCAGTCAACTGCGCCAGAACCATCAGCACAACCACCCAGATCAAGTTGTAGTCTGGCTTCATCAACGCTTTTATCTCTGGATGTTTAGCTAGATGGGAAAGAATTAAATAAAAAAGGAATTATTTAGAAGCTCTCCTCACTGCCAGCTATCCCAATTAGATTACAAAAGCAGATACAGTCATATAGTCATTTCTTCCCTTCCTCCCAATTAGGATTGGTCTGCAAAGGTAATGGAAACACAGCACCCTTCCACTTGTGACATTTATTGCTCTAATGAATCCTTCAGAATTACATCATTTTAGCATTTTTCTGTTGCTCAGCACCTAGACAGGTATATGGCAAGCACCAGCACCACCTCCACCCTACCCAGAAAGAAAACGGCCTTGAACCGACAACCCACCAGTAACTCAGATGGGCTTAAATAACCCCAGGTCTCATTTAGACGTTTTACTTGAAACGCGGTTATTCGCCACCAATAAGGTGTGCCGCAGGGACCCTACGCATGCCATATGATCTATTTATAACGACCAGCAGACATCTTCTCCATTATTCGCCTCGCTTCCCGCCCGCACCGAGGGCCCTGCGGAAGCGGGCAGGGAGCGCCCCGCAGCCCCCTC